AACAGTTCAGGTCGAAACTGTTTGTTTCGGATTTTCCTGAAATTCCTTACGCTCAGTAAAAGCTTCATTAAAACGTCCATAACTCTTTATCATTAGGCTATGGACCTGAGTCCTTTAAAGAGTGTCTTAGTCTCGCTGAGAACTGTTTGTAACCTTATAATATAAAGTCCAACAACGTTCGACAAATGAGGATGTTCTCTAGCAAATTTTATTGTATTCCATATCACATTCAATGTCAATTATAAAACTCTTCCTATTTCTCTCATCAGTAATTATATCAATCAAGTATAACGACATTCTTAATAAAGAATTTATTCAAAATACAGAACAAATTTTCAATGAACTAATTGATGAAGTTCTGTCTTCATCACGATCGATTGTTGAGCGATTTCAATAATAAAATCAATAAATATCATTTATAATGAGTACTTCATAATTATCTATCAAAACAATCAACTAACATTTTAAAATAAACACATCGATAGTCTTTAGAAGGTACGTATGATGCAATTATATATTGGTAACAACCCAGAGTGAATATTACGACAGTGATGAACGGTCGTACACGATCGTACTACGTTGTTTCATTATATAATGAAATACGACATGTATACACCTAACATAAATGACTGAACACCGTCATTTGCGATTGTATTCACATAAGCTTCTCTTTAGTGAAGAGGAGGCGACTTTCTCTTACTCTCTCCTTTCGTTAACAAAAGAAAAATTATTTATTTATTTAAATCAATACTTACTGTTGAATATTTTATTGAAATAAATCTAAATAAAAAAAATACTGTTTAATTTTTTAAATATTAGGGTTCCGAAAAAAAGGATATGCTTTTCAAGTCTTAATTTTTGAGTAACTCACAAACACGAAATGATATGGAGGTGCAATTCTCGATATGACATACACGGGACTTCAAGTCAGACATTCATGTAAAAAGTGTTCCACTAGCAAGGTCAATCAGGTAATACATTAGATAAGTCTATGAAAGACCACCAATACATTGTTCTTAGGGTTTTTACATAAAAATTTCGAAAAGGTTTCGATAGAAATATCAATAGCGCATGATAAGCGTCTTAATTATGAAGTTATAACGAAATGTTTTTCATTAACAAAGTCATGATACTTAAAGGACTAAATTTTGAATTAAATACTTATGATCGAGTCTGCCATTGGAATAAATCAAAATAAAAACAAATATAATCTAAGATTTTAACTCATACTTGCCATTAGATTTTATTCACGATTCAAAAGTAAGTTTTGATCGAAATAGGAATCTAAACTTACATCTAAATTATGATCATACACGAAAATCATATAGGACAGTCGTTTACGATTGTGCTTTCTCAACTAGCGAGCCTAAAAAATTTCTAAACGAAAATAAACAATGAAAGCACCGCCTGAAGTTTCTTTTGTACCAGTCAAAAAACATAAAATTCTTCTAATTCAACCAACAGATAATTTAGTTTATCACAAAAAAAGTATATTACTGATCTGTTTTATACATATTGAGAACAATGTATTATGAAACATCATTTAAAGCTCATTTATTTAAATATTATAAACATGAATAAAAATATATCACTAAAGAAAAACGAAAATTATTCTTATTTGATTTTTTTTTATCACTTCGTTATACAATAAATAAACAATGTTATTAACAAAAACTCGAACAATAACTTCTTCTTATCTTACACCAGCTAGTACAGCAAGTACAGGACAACGTAAAACAATACTACTTTTTAATCATCCATTTTCAATTGGTAGTGCTGCTACAACTAGTATTGGCTCAACAAATACACCAAAAACTGGCTCAATTTTATCAGATTCTAGTGTATTAGATGAACATGATTATGAAATGACACGTCAAATAATGCGTGATCTTATAGAAGAAATTCAAATTGAAAAACCATTTATAAGTTTTAATGATATTTTTTTTGATCAAGATGATATTATTGGTTGTTTATTACGAATATTTGATGAATATGCTGAAAATATCAATGGAATAAAACAAATAACACGTGAAAATATGTTAAAATTATTAGAAAATTCAGAAATATTTAATAATAATAATTATACATCATTATCATTTATAAATGATTGGAATAATTTACGTAAACAAATGATAAAAAAGAAAATCTATGAACGAAAAAATAAAACTTTTGATTTTTGTGGTTTTGTTCAATTAATTGACATAATAAAAAATCGTTTACATAAAAGTAAAGATGAAATTTTGAAGAACATTATTGGTTCGCAAATTTATAATGATGTTATTAAAATAAAAGAAATTCGAGATAAAATTCAATTGGGTTTATTACCATCAATGAATACACTTATTAATCAATATAATGATGTAAGAAAAATCAATATGCTATTGAGAGCGGTTGATTGAATTAGAGTGTGAATCATTATAATTTAGGAAAAATTCCAATTTTTGTTGCTACTATCTTTCACTCATTGACTATCGTGAGCAATGATTCTTTTCTTGAAAGTGTTGCAGATGCAACAATCGGGTGGGAAGATTGAGAGGTTTTCACTCAGATACTTTAACTATTTACTGTTAGCAGCTAGTTCATTCTCTCTCTAATTTGGAAATAGTAGATAAGTGTGTTCTTTTTTGAAAACATTTTGATATTAAGTGTAAAAAAAAATTAAATTATAAATTTCATTTAAAAGAAAATAAAAATAACGAGTGTTGAATGCACATCTATTTTTATTGATAAAAAACAGAAAAGAAGATTAGTCATTGCATTTCGTCTATTAAATATTGATTTATCAAACTCCAATTCTTTTGATCAAAGTCATTAAATATCGTATAGTCAGTCTTATAGAAACTGAAACTGATTTACGATTATACTATTGGCCTTGATTCAGCGATTAACTTTGAAAACAGTTTATTGTGATAGGAGAAAATTTAAATATAATCAAAATGTGGGTTACGTATTGCTAAAGTAATCACATTTCAGATATATATCAAGGTACATGTGTTCGTCAGGATAACAATAAACAAAATTACGAGCCTATCGGTCAACTCTTCTACATGAACTACAGAATCTTATTGAATATATATATATTGAATTAATTAGTATTACTTTAGTATAAACAGGAGGCGTAGAAAATTCGAGGAAGTAATTACTACTACTTGTAGTGGTGGCGCTCCATCTATGTTAAAACACACCTATTGAATGCAAACAATGAGTAAAAAGTACACATAGCTACCCACTTGCTCTCAATCATCAAGGTTTACAATTCATAATTCGATGCGACAAAACCATAAAAGCAACATTTATAAAGAATTGAAAACAAACGATTTGGTATTTTATCATATGTGTTATAACGTGCCTGTGCGTTATAAACGCTGATCACTATGGCATTTCTCTTGTTATTCTGCATTCCACAAGTTATTCTCTTTTATATTAAATATAATTATGAATAATAATCATTAATAATATTATAAACCTTCTTATATGGAATCTATATCTGTTGAGTTTAGAGAGTAGTTTATGATGATCTCATGAATAGAGCTAAGCAAAAATGTAATTTTTTTCTTCTCATACAAACGACGACTTACTAATATCTATCATAGAGGTTTTTGCTATAGATTCTTTTCTTTGAACCTATAGATACAAATGAATTATTTATGAGTACTTATTTCTCTTCTTATTCATCAATTATCGGACGGTTAGAATTAAATTATAAATTTCAAACTAATTTAGTATAAGAAAATGTTGCGAAGAGCTGTTGTCTCCTTCATCAATTTATTTAATTTTTACTTAAAGATAAAACTTCACATCTTTTACTCTTTATAAACGTGTCTACTTCTTTTGTTCTGATAATAAAACGGAAGATGAAAACGTGTAAGTTAGCTCACCCAGTATCACCATCTTGTAATTTCATGGTATTAGAAGAAAGCAAAGAAAAACAGACTGATTTATAGATAGTAACCGGTGATGAGAAATTTTTTAGACAATATGTTTGTTCTATTTTGATCCGTTAGAAAGTATTTCCAAGGAGTTAAGACCAGAATTTTGTGTTCTTTTCGAATATAGACTTTGAAATCTTGTCCGAGGAATAGTGCAATAATCTTTGAGAAGTTCAAAAAGTAGTTTCAACAGATCAAGAGTAGTGAGAGGCTGATTGAAAGATCTGAAAAATTATTTTTAATAGTGACCTCATAAGGTTTTTATTTATCTTGTGGATCTCTTTTCGAACATGCGAAAGAGTTGCAGAGTCATTCATTTTATAGAGCGGACATTTCTCTGGAAAATGTGATATTGAACGAAGCTATTGCTTTTAATCAATCGTTTTTTCAAAAAATTCTTTCAATGTAAAACGGTTGTTGATTTTTTAAAAATGAGTACTTAGAGAAAACGGAAATTGCAGTACTTTCCCGAAAAGCCAAATAAATGCAAATGGTGCATCTTGCAAGGTAGCTTCTGGTCTACAGCGTGACATTTAAATAAAGATCTCAACTGTTACTTTTGAATCGTAATAGTGAAAATATAAAAATTCTCCGTCTAAACTAAGATTTTAGACTCTTCAAAGACTATTTCATTTGCCTTCAACGAAAATTTAGACAAAATTTCTAAGTCCATATTCGTAAAGAACAGAAAATTCTGATTCTACGTCATCGAAAATACTTTCTAGCAGTCCATCAGTGAATATATATCTTGTCTAAAAACTTTTCAATCACCCGTTAAAAAATATATAAAATTTTATCTTCATGGATAAGTCAATGAACTGATCAAGGAGGCAGCTATTCTCCGTAAGATTTTCTTAGATTAAATTAATTTGAATCAACATATAATGGATTAGGAGTTGGAAAAATAATGACTTGTAAACAATTGACGATATCTTACATAACATTACTAATTAGATGCAAATGAAAATCAATGATCGACGAATCATGAGGAAAAAGAAGAAAAAGAAGAAGAAGAAGAACACAAAATCAATTACAAATGATCGGAAGAAAACTCAATTAACAGTTAAATCAATGACAAAGAAAAAGAAAAAATTAAAATCAACAGATCGTAGCAAACAAAATGATATATCAAATACTAAAAAACGAGATCGAAAGATTGATATGAATAAATCAATGCGACAAAGTATTCTGTTTCCTTCTCAGCTTGGCGAAAAACAACAACCAATGTTATCATCAACAATAAAAGTATTATCAAAAGAATCACCAAAACTGAAAATATCCCATATATTTGAACCATGGATTGTGCGTGATGACCTTGATGTAAGGAAAATTATTTGAACTCAATGTATAACGAATTATTATTTTTTGTTAGAATGAATTAATGAATAAATTGTTTGAGTTATTTAACCTAGCTTCGGAACAATTCGAACATGGATTAATTAGGCAAAATGTATTTATTCAATGGCTTCGTGCATCACATGTCATTTCAGATACCTATTCAGTAAATATAATCGGTATTCGTAGTTTAATTTGTCTTCATTTTCTCTACAATGTATTTCTCGTTTTGTTTTTTTTTTATAGAAGGTGTACTACATAGCATTTTAGCTCGTAATATCAATGCTCATAAATATAAATTAGGTACTGATACTTTTGAATGGAATGGTTTTATGGATTGTATTCGAATATTAGCAAGACAAGTTCATCTATCGTTAAATGAATTTGTAAAAAAAATGCTTATAGCTGATGAATTTTCATTTCAAAGATGGCGAGTTGAAACTGAACGTATCCCATTAGAAGTCGTAACAGGTAAACAAACAAGTCGTCCATGGGATTCGAAAAAGGTAGATGAATTTTATATTTTCTACTGTTTAAAAGAAAACTTTGTTCTTCTCTTTCAATAAATTAAAAACAAAAGGTTCTAGTTGCTGTTAATATTATGCGTGATATTGTTGAAGAAAGTCGTAAATTACATTTAACAGATGATGAACGTAAACGTTTACGTTCACTTTATAAAGAATTTGCTACATTTGCATATCGTCGTCAAAGTGCACATTTAGAAGCACGTTTAACAAATTCCGTTTTAAGTAATTGGATGCGTGAATGTCGAATATTCGATGATAAATATACAATAAATGAACTTGATAAAGATTTTATTTCAATATTAGGAGATTTTACATTAAATGGTGTTTATCCACAAGGTACACGTGATATTGATTTTGATGGTTTTCTTATATTAATTCAAACAATTGCTGCACATAAACATATTCGAGCTGATGATCTTGTTCATATGATTTTTGCTGGACCACGTAGTCCATTACAAAAAACAGCTGAATTTAATGAACACATGGATCGTACAAAAATTCAGACAAGTCAAATCATTTAAAAACGACAAAAACAAACGAAAGAAAAGAATTAGACTAAAATGAAAAAATAAAAGTCGTTTGAATTTTGATTATACGATTGTCTTTATTTTATGATGTTCGATTAACAGATGATTCTTCTTTCTACAATAAAAATAAAAATCATAGATTCATAGATAAATATTGAAATTATACAACATACTGCATAGACACGTGCTTGTTCCATTTCTCGGATTGTTTGATCACGTTGTGAACAAAGTGCATTAAAATTTTTTTCTGTTCGTCCCATTGGATGAACATGGTATGGTCCAGGAATTCTTTTAGGTAAATCCCAAGTTCCAATGAACTCACCAAATGGTGATCGTTTTGATCTTGCAATGCCCGGTAAAATGTGACCACGATTATCAGCCACAAAACTACTAGCATTCAATGACATTGATGCTTTTGGATGCTAAAATAAATAAAATATTTATATTTTATCATTAATTAAATCGAGAATATGATGCATTTTAATATACACGTTTTATCCTTGACGAGGTAAATCTTTTTCCTTGTAGATCTGTATGTAAAACTAATTAAGTTATCAATTTTCAATAATCCTATTAAATGATTCGGATTAAATAAATTAAATTTTTTGATTAGTTTCAGAACATGCACAGTATAACTTTTTTTTGTCTAGATTACTAACCACGCCAGGTTGTGGATCTTTTGGTATTTCATACATTTGTAAACGTTTTGGTGTAAATGACTTCTCATATTGTGAAGCACTGTAGTTTCGTGACATTTCTTCGTTGTAATTGTTGAAACGAACAAGATCAACAAATGAAAGAACATTGCGGTTACCATCATCAATGTAAAAGTAATTGTTATTGTCAGAGCAACAGAAAGAGGTTTGCAGGAAATGTGTCGTTAGCTATCGATGTACTTACATGCACAAAAAGAATTATTAATTTTTAATACTTTATATCACAATAAAGGAAAGAGATATGTATTTTTATTTAATCAAATAATAATATTATTTATTTCTGAATTAGTCATTGGCTAATGCACGAAAGTCCAAGACGAAAAGAACAAAAAAAAAATCACCAGATATTTCAACATAAATGTTGTATAACAGAAAGAAAAAGAAGAAAGAGACAAACTATCTGCTTGTATCAAAAAGGAAAAGAGAACTTGTTGCTGTCATGTACCAAAGAACAGTAAATGATTTTTCTATTTATATATATATACATAAAATCAAAGTAAAAATGAATTACAAAAGTTCTTCATTTCCTTCATTACAATGATGATTATTAGGTGATGATGTTAATGTTTCACATCGAAATACAGGTGTACCTAATTTAATAGGTGCTGCACCACGTATAGGTACAGATGTTTGACTAAAATATTCAATCATACGTGATACACTTGGAAATGGTCTTGAGCATTCTCCAAGAATATAAACACCTGTTGAATAACATATACGCATATGCATACAACTTTTTGCCGTTCTATTTAAAGCAAAAAAGAACTAACTTTGAAAAACATCTTTTTTTAACTTTTACCTGATTGAAAGTGAATAATCATTTTGATTTCCACTTTCACTTTGACGTACAAGAAAACTACCAGGTGGACGAGTTTGTAAAATATTTTCAGCTGTTCGTCGTGACATTGCATAATGATACCAACTGTATAAATACATATATATATGAGCTTTTGGTGAAATTTGAGATAGATACTTACAAGTAACGATCAATTGGAATTGTCATATCAATATCCGATGTTGAGGGAGCAAGGTTACGATTGTTTGTTTTACAGATTTCTATTTAAATTGAAAAAAGAAAAGAAATTGTTTTTAATTAAATGAAACATTTATCTGTTGTTTTTCATACCTCCTATATTTGTATTACTAATATTGTGTTTATCATCTGGTGAACATGTGCTATGTCGACAAGTTGTAATTGTAGGAGAAACCATAGGAAATGGTGGTAGACAATGTTGTTTTGATTCTTCTGTATTAAACATCTTTTGTAATGAACCTTCTCCATTACGACTATTTCCTGATGACGGTGGAGATGAAAGACTATTGATAAGAGATGTTTGTAATGTATCCCATGGTCGTTCATAAGCTATGGGTGATTCTTGATTAGTTGTATTTTGTGTCTTACATAAAGAAGATGCGGAATTATTTGTATTATTGCATCGAGTGGATGAACTTAAACGTTTAAATCGTTGTAAAGCAGCCTATGGAGAACGGTGGAAAAAGAAATTTATGACTTTTGTAAATACATAATTTCTTATCAGAAAAGGACCTACTTCAAATGACATTGGTTTCGTATCGTCTGTTAGCAATGGTGATTCAGTTGATGATGATGACGAAGATATTGTACTATTCTGTGTCATAATATTTGTTGATTCTTGCCGATTTTCAATAACATGTGATAAATCAACTTTAGCTGGTGCTGTATTAACTCGTTGTGAACGTTCATTGGATGGTGATGAAGATGCAAAAACAAAACTACGTGAAGTATCTGTGCCCGACCGAATAGCATGTGCATTGAGACAATAGGAAATTTTTTTTAATGATGGATCAAGACTTTCATTGATTGAGTTATTATTATTATTATTATTAAGTGATCGATTTCGAGTATTATTATTACTACCACATTGACATGTGACATTAGTTGTTGTTGATGGTGGTGGTATTAAACCACCAGGTGGTAATGGAGGAAGTAAAGGTGGTGAAGGTTCTCGAAGTGTCAGTGATATTTTTGTTGATGATGTTGTACGAGCTGAACGAGTACGATGAAATGCATTATTATTATTAGAAGAAGAAGACGATGAAGATGTTGAACGATGGTTCGTATTTGATGGATGAAGTAAAGCATCTGTTAATGCTGTTATAGTATTTGATGATGATGTTGATCGTTGTTCACTGAGTAATTTAAATTTTTCTTCTTGTATTTTTAAATCCCATGGTGAACAATAAGATTCTTCCGATACAACATGTGGTTGAAATGATGAACATGATGCTGTTGCTGCACTCATCGAAAAACTGTTATTGCTATGATTGTGATTATTATTATTATTTGAAAAATCGATCAATGTACGATCAATTGCATCTAAAGAAGCACTTGGATAAATAGGTATGTAGCTTCAAATATGAAGTCATACATGACAGATTGAGTGGTTATGACGGGAGGGCATACACCTCTTTCTACACTATAAACATATATGAATACGCGTGCCCGTCAAATGAATAGGTGAACAGCTGCACGAGAAAGCAACTCAGCTGAGCAGAACAAACGATGAATTCCATCTAGTCAATGTGCCCTGGACATTCATTATCCAACGACGAAGAAAAAAGAAGGAAAGGAAGAGAAAGATATAAATATATATATATATGTATGACCGATGCTGCTGCATAGTCTCTCAATGAATACAATCTGTCTATCTTTTTTCTTTCTAGTGAAAAAAGACAGACAATGCTAGATGAATAAGGTCAAGAACTACTACAATAGTTAAACTAATTCTGCATGCTGATTATTTCTCGTTTTGTCTGTCGAATTTTATAGGGATGAGTTTGTTATGGTCGTCTGTGAGACAATCATGTTCTCGACGTTTTCTTTTTACTTACGCAATTGTGTGAAGGGACTAGTGACGATTGATTCAATTGTTGATCCGCAAAAAGAAAAAGAATGATGGCAAATAGCCGACTAATTCTTTCTTTAACTCTCGCACGTCTATAAAGCCATACAACACGTTCTCTTCAATTACCCGCCTTCTCATTGCCTCGCTCACTGAGCTTCTCATAGCATACTATGAGTGGTCTCTTTTTTTTCTTTTGTCTGTTTTCAATATATATATATATACGTATAAATGTTCTTTATTTTACATTCTCCTTTTCTTCAGTCGATGATTAAAGTGAGCGATGACATCTAATCATAGAGACTGATTGGTATGGTACTATGTAGTATACCATGTACAACTATTGTGAAATTAGAATAAATGATTATACTTTTAGAGGCAACAAAAGGGCAAGTCTACAAACACCGTCGATCGTCTAATGGCACATACATATTGTCAATATTAAATGGGTTCAATCGTCCTAATACACATACACATACAAACATGTAGAACATTGACCCACCCAATATGTATATACACTAGCCTTTATAATATTCATTCTTCATATCTAAATTGATAGAATATGATTGAAAGAAAGACCTTGATGAAAAGAGAAGAAAAGAAAAGAAAAGAAAAGAAAAGAGAAAAATTTGTTATCATCATTACAAAGTTTTTCATATTTTTGTCTTATTTCTTTCTCTTGGTATGGTAATGATGAGAATATCCATATTCGAACACAGCGGGAAACATCAAACATGTGAACACATTTGTGAACAGCTGCAGCTGTTTCTTTGTTTCGGTTTTTTTTATCCATCTCTCATGTTCAATTTCACTCGATATATTGTTTTGATTACACTCGGTTGGATATAACTAACTTACGTTGATGATGATGATGATGATGTTGCTGTTGATGCTTGGCAAAGGACGATTCACAGCCATTTTCCTTGGCAGCACCGTTAACATTTGGATCAGAAAGAATGCATGGCTATAATACAAAAAAAAAAGGCCAACTATTCATCTCAAGAAAAAAAAATCCAATCGGGAAATATAAAAGAGAGGAAAAACGCATTTACCAATGTTCGTTTGCGTTCTCTCGTGCAACCAAAAAAACAAGCCAACATTGTATTCGATTCGTTCGCGCATTCAATCATCAATGTTACAACGATAGTTAATGGCAATAGTATTATTGTTAGTCGAATCACGCATAATCATTGTCGGTTATATCACAACTTTGATATAAGCGTACGCACGAATAGATATTTATTTATTGTTTCATCTACAGCTCACAGTTTGTTCAATGTCTTTACTATGTGTAATATATACATATGCATACAATGTATGAGTCTCTTAAATAATTACCTAGAAGAACTCACTGGAAAGTTGACAATATTGATGATAGTTTTAATGACCTCGACAAATGACTGACGATCTGTCTGCATATACAGACAAAAGCAAAGATGAACTACTGAGATAAACCGTGTGTGATAATTAGGATCAATGTTTACGTGCAAAGAAAATGCTGTGTAGGTAATAGTATTGGATCTCATCAAAATGAATATAAACTTAGACAGAAATAATATTCATTAGTTACGTATGTTTATATATATATATATATATACTGTTTCTTATCAAGATAGACATTTGGTTCGAAGGACAAAAGTGTTGTCCGAAATAGAAAAATTCTCATTCTTAATGAAAAATCTATGAAAGATGATGAATATGACCTTCACTTTCTATGTCTCATTTGCACATTCATGAGACTAACATATAGGCGACTAGTGGTGTCGATTACTCTTTATATTATTAATGGTTTACGTCAGAAGGACACATCAAGTAACAGATGAAATGATCCGATTACAAAAAAAAAAAGTCGCTCTTTAACAAGACATTTTCGAGCAACAAATAAGATTAAAATATAATAAGAGCCAAAAAAAAACAGACACTAATATTACCACGAACTGTTTCAGTTCTCTTATACACATTTACCTGTGTTGTATGAATATTAGTTGATTGTTTGAATGAAGATGAAGTTGGTAAAGATCGATCAAATAAAGAAACTAACGGCATGATCTAAAAAAAGATTAGATTGTGTCAATAATGTTTGGTGAAGAGGAGTTCATATAATAATAGTCAAACATGTTCAATAATAAACAAGAATAAAGAACGCAAGAAAACTATCAAAAATGTTATTCGTTAAAAAAAATAGCCAATCATATTTCAACTGCTACATTGGTTGTTTTTTTTTGAGTTAGATTCTTTTGCTAATTAAATTTGTTCGAGAATGTCACGTAAATTGAACGATAATCATGAACAACAATTAACAGAACTTGAACCTGAACGTATTCTTGTTCATAAATTAGTCGATTCAAGTAAAGCTCAACGAACAAAAGCTATTGAACGACTTAAATTATGGATAAATGCTCGAACATTAAATCCAACAAGTTTTTTTACTTATGATGATTTAATTAAAATTTGGAAAGGTCTCTATTATAATATGTGGATGGCTGATAAACCTATTTTACAAGTAAAATTTTCATATTCATAGATTTTTCTTTCTCTATGTTTAATATAAAGGATCAATTAGCTACAGAAATATCATCTTGGATTCATGAATTTCGTAATAATGATCAAGCACGTTTATATATCGACGCTGGTTTTGCTACATTTGCTCGTGAATGGTGGGGTATTGATCGATGGCGTTTGAGCAAATTTATGACAGTAAAATTATTATTTTATTGTTTTCATATTTAATATTATTTTATTGAAATAGTTTGTACGTTGTCTTCTACGTGAATCATTTGTTTTTCTTAAAAATCTTAAATGGTTTAAAGGTGATATAATAAAATTTACAAAAATGCTTCGTCAAAATGTACTTAGTGCTAATGGCAATCGATCTTGTGATGGTTTAAAATTACATATAACTGATATTTATTTAGAAGAACTTGCTCAAATAGGTGGTATAGAATTAAAACCAAAACGATTAATTCTTTTATTATCACCATTTTTTAATATTATTAAAACATCTGAAAAGTAAATAATCAATTTTTTTCTTTTTTCTAGTATATTTTAAATATTTATTTGAACTTTCTAGTGAAGTACTTACTAAACATGTTTATAAAAATCTTTTCTTACCAATAATTCAATATTCTGATGTTGGTATTGATCCAGATGCTGAAGAAGAAATGGAAACAATACAACCATTTGGTCGACAAGCTATTGAAGAAGAAATGGAAATGAATAATGAAAATGAACAGCAAGATGATACTGTTTTACAAGTATATTTCGTTATTGTTTATTATATATACGTTCAGTTTATTATTTTTTTTTACTTTAGTTTGATTATAAACTTCTTTCAGAAAAATTAATTAAAATAGCAAAAGTCGATAGTTGTAAACAACGAAATCGTAAACAAATATATGAATTAGCTCGAAAGTAAAATCATTTAGACAATTTAAAATATATATATTAGATAGATGATTTTAGATTTGATGCACTTTCACGTGGAATATATCCATTATCTGATGAACGATTACCTGAAGTTTTTGAATCAAATCGTTTATCTTGTGAAGTTGATGTGAACGTAAGTGTATATTATCAAAACCATTCGTGAGTGGCATGATTTTGCAAAATGAAAATATGTGTATTTCAGGATAGTCAACTTTCCTAACGTTTATTTTTATATATTAAGTTACTGTGGATTTCCTAAAAAAATCAGCTCTGGTGATCTTTACTTAAAGGAATTATAAGTAAAATCTAATATTAAAAGGAACATCAACTTTTACTTCGTGCATTTTAGTTTAAAACAAAAACTCCGAATCGAGAGAGCATTTCTCAAAACTAACTATGACATTCTGTAGACAACTTTTGAGGTTACAAAATCTTTATCGAAAATTTTTTGTCAATATGCCTAGATTTCTCAAAAAAAAAATTGATAGACATTTCGTTAGCGACATGACTAAGTACAAATATACAAACGAAAAAATTCTTTTATCATAGAATGAGAAGTTCAAAACCAATTGCAAACAGTCTTAGTCGTTCTTCAGAATCTCTAGTATATCTATGTTCAAAGAACTTCTTCAGAAAAATAAACCTTGTAAAGGATCAAAATCAAATTCAAGGTGAGTATCAGAGATCCACGAGACAATATCGCGCCACCTAATCCTTTAGCACATGCCGATACACTGTTTAGCAACCTTGTGTGGAGTGCGCTCGTCGTCATCTCATCGTTTGTAAATTTCTGGAAGAATACTGAAGAAACAAAGTAAAATATGAAAGAGGCGTGTGCGAGTGTGTCTTGTGGATCTCTGCTAGGTGGGTATGTCCGTTTATGTGTGAAAAGGCACCTATATAAAATATTTATTTATGTTTTCTTTTTATTCTTATTAGACTTTACGGGAATTACAAAAAGATTTAGGTGAATTAAGTCACAAGAAGAAAAGTGTAACACGTCCAGAAGAAATTGAAGAACTTCTAGAAAAATATGATGTAAATCTGATATAATAAAATTATTCGGATAAGAAGTAAATATTTTTTTTTTCTTAGGCTGTTAAGAAACGTAAGAAACATCGTGGGAAAGGTGGTTCAAAAAAGAAGAAACAAACCAATCAATGATCAATGAATAATTATGTTACACTTGATATGTTTTTCGTTTTTTTTTTTGTTATTCCGTTCTATGTGTAACAATAAAACGATTATTCATGATCTATAAAATAATATTATTTCTCTAAAATGAACATTGTACTACCATAGGATTTAATCGTTTTATGGTGATCTCTAGTACAATATTCATAGAAAACTTTGATTTTTCATAATTGCTAATAGGTCTTCATTAATGAAATGCATAATATCTAGGACTTAGAGCCTATCAGATTGATTTCGAATCGACCTAACTAACTATACTCTAACAGTAATAGCCGATTGTGTCTTGATTATCATATTATCATCATCGAAATGACTATAGGATCTACAGGCAAGAATTTCGTTGAAATTATGAATGTATGTAATGACAATGACGAGTGATTACTATTTTGTAATCTTCGTTCAGTCACGTTGAGCTAACAGAGATCTAGCAATGGTGTCTCTATAAATAAAGAGAAAGCTATAGTTTCAATACATACTTACGGAATAGAGAAGCTTTTCTACTGAACTTTAGCGCGTGGATGTGATTCAATATCTAAAAAAGAGCATTATTAAATTCAATGTCTAAAGATGAATAAGACAAATTGACGGCTGAATTTTGAAATATTTGTCACGAATAATCAAATAAATACGCATATATTATGAACATTCATAATTAACTGAGTCGACAACTTTGTTTAGTATACTTCTTATGACGGAGCACGAAGAAATTAAAAATTTTTTTGCTTGTAAGAATAACTGGAATTGATCGTGGCAAATTATTTGAAGGAATAATACATTTATAATCAACATTCAAAGAAGTTATTTCTTATATTGAATGATTGTTTGTTCAAATACAAAAATATATTGATGATCATGAGGTTGAGAAGCAAATACTGGGTCGAAAACTTTAAGAACCAACTCATGATGAACCATTTCATGATGAACAATTTTTTCAAAAGATGTCAACATAACATTATTGAAAGATTTCATCTGATCAATTTTGAACTCTTATAATGACAAAACCCACAATGAATTGTGATGAAATAATAAAACTTGTTTCTTATATATATATATGGGGGAAAAAATCATTGCAGTCTGTATTTTAGATATATTGTTGCTATGAAAGGACACTTTTGAAAAAGTAATGACATATTCTGAAAACCCTTGGAGTTTTCTATCATTCTATGTATTTGTGTTATAGTTTGCACTTATATACTATTAAGATAAATTGAATACAATGAAAGTACCCTCGTCATTAAATTCCCTTAGACTTGATTTTTTTCAGTGTCTTGAAAATAAGTTTTTGAAAATTTTCATCATTATAGAACTATCTTTTTGAAAAAGTAATTGTATATTCGGATAGAGCTCGAGATGCTCTATCACTCCATATATTTATCTATTACATTATATTCATGTATGAAACAATAATTTAAAAATCATGAATGTAATCATAATTGACAAGCACTAGAAATATTCATTTTTTTTCGCTGTTTGTTTTTGGTTTTTGAAAATTCTCATTCCTAAATAAATAAATTACACAACAATAAATTACAGCCTTTGATAGCTTATCTAATTCTCTTTCCTTCTATGTACTATTATATTATGTTAAATTCGTTTTCCCGGACATATTCGGGTATTAAGTAGACGCACTTGCTGGCCTCCGATTACAAATTTTCGAAATTATAGGAATTCCTACATAGGATTTCGTTTTCTGAATTATACAATTATTTTCACTAAAAAAAAAGTAAAAAATTGACCAAAATTTAGGTATTGTACGTTGAACCACACCTCAAATGTATGTGCTTTACTTGCAAGAAACAGCTATTCACACTACCTGGTTTTTTTCGTAAAAAGTGATGACCAGGGGAGGGGGGTTGCGGGTAGTGCCGCGAAGATCCCCATACTCCCCCTCAGGGCAAAGTCAAATCTCGTAAAATTTCTTCACTTTTTTTTTGACAAAATATAGGAAAAATAGGAAAATCAATCGAAATATAGGACAGAATATAGGATTTTTCAAAAAAATAGGAATTATAGGATGAATCGGAGCCCAGGTAAAGAAAGAAAGAGAACGAAGAATCACATAGAGTTAAGTATGTGCCATAACACCGATTCTTCATCCTTACTGCACGCAAATCTTTGTAAGCATGCAAGATTTTGCACTAATTCTCATAAAATATGTTGTGAAAAATAATCACAAAATATGTGTAGCATTTTTGTTACCATCGGACTCAAAGGGTTAAAATCCATTTTTCTGGATTAAAAATCAACTTATACAACAGTGCCACTATAGAAAAAGACCTTATTTGGAGATTGCTGAGAAAAAAAAAGACTTTAAAGACTTTTTTTAATTAAATAATCCGTTTCAGATTTGAACATCACTCAGAATAAGAGTGTTTTTAAAAACATAATCCTTCTCCCTTTAGACAGATTTGTCTATTTCAATATTACAGTAAATGAGATAACTTTCAAAAAGATTACTTGTAAAAGTCTAGAAAGTCTTCGCTGGGTAACAGTAGCACTTCTATGGCTATAATTATTATCAGTGTTCTGCAAAGTTAAAGAAAAACATGTTAAAATTTAATAAAAACTACACTTTTATCTGTTCAGTCATGCTGGATGATATTGTTGCAAGAATTTTTTTCAACCATAACGTAAACAGTTATGAACTCAAAGTGTTATTTGAGACATTTTTAACGAATTCAAGTTTGTACCTTAGTTTAGTTGATCTATTCAGGCACATCAAACAAAGATAACATACTTCGTTTCACTGGCATGTTCACCATAGGGATGTGCAGTTTCAGTATACTGACCACCGATAAAACCGCACTGGCGTTCACCGGTACGCTGATGACACTGACAGTGACCGCACTGTCTGCAGTGACACACTGACAGTGGTCGCACTGTTTGCAGTGAAACACTGACAGTGACCGCACTGTCTGCAGTGACATACTGACACTGAGCGCACTGACTGCAGTGTCTGCACTGACGCATACTGGAACACTGACGTACTGATACTGATTTCCATTGACTAGAATTTATAAACAGAAGACGACGACATATTCCGCTTGTAATATGTAGATTAACAAAAAATTTTCATTGACTGGAAGCATATCTGCTCAATAGTTTGGTGTCTTGGTGGAGATAAGCTACATTCACTTTCACGTACATAGACTTTTTCATCATTGCATAAAAAAACTATACTTAGCCTCTGCAATACAAAAGAGACGTTCATTATCGATCTATTTCAGACACTTGTATAGCTCACATTTGAAGCAAGGGAAAAAAACAAAATAAAAAATTCTTTTCTGGAATAGTTTGAATATCAATGTGACATGATTCAACTTTTGTCACAAATGAGAAAATGTTTAAGATAAAATTAATATAAAGCGTCTTGTATGAAACACTTTTATTTAAATATGCCTCGAATTAAACACTACGAGACTGGATTCAAACATGTGAATAAGTGATGACATCGTCAACGTTTATTATTAAAAAATACAGATACATAGAATCTTAATCATTAAAAAATAAAGATGAACAAATTGTTTATTTTTCAGCATTAAAAGATTTATTTAGGGTGTCTGCTGTTATTCTCTAACAATGCATTTTTTTCTTCACTATCGTTTTTTTATTTTTAAGAAACAATAATGAATTAGCTTTCTTAACAAAGATTAATTGAAAGTGTTTCCATCACTTTTATTTCCATTCTGAAAAGTTTATTCTTTTTAATCAACTAAAGGTTAATAATATTTTTAATTCGTGCAAAATTTATTTCATCCGAAAACAATTATTTCTGTTAGTAAGAAAAAAGAAGTAATTAAAGACATCTTTCCGACATGGTTAGTATTATTTTCCTTTTGCTTTTCGATTTTCACCTACTTCGAATGATATAAAACTGAACCATTACTATACTGTAGAGACAAAACCTAGATATGCATGTATTTTTAAGGTAGCTCTTTTCTTCTTGTGTCTCGAGAAAACGGATTTATATTTCAATATGTTGGGCAAATGTATCGCTATTGAAAACTTTACATGATTAATAAGCTTAAAAATGAAAAGACTTAATAGTTTAAACGCAGCAACAACTTCTTGTATGTTTAAGACAAAAGAGCTGTGGTCCCCCTCAGGGATATTTGAAAAACTGAATTTGGAATTTCGACTTCAAACTTTGCATAGATATATGTCTCAATGAGAATAGTTTATTGTGAAAGTTTCAGCTCTTTTCGCTGTTTCTATCATAAAATACAGTTATCTTAAAATTGCTTCTAAACACCGACAGATACGATGTTCTTATCTTAGACTAGGAGCAACCAAAACATCTGAAACCTTCACAATAAACTATTCTCACTAAGGCCTATCTATATGAAAAGATTCGGGCGGAAACTCAAAACTCACTTTTCCTGATGTTCCTGAGGAGATCCACGGCTTTTTCCAAAACACATAGTAAAAATGTTGTATCTCAGCAGCAAGAGGCTAGCGGCACGAACTCTTTCCAGAGAACTCATAGCTCATTATGGCTTAGTGTATGCACTGGTTCAGTGAATACTAATGTCGGTGTAGACACTGCAGTCAGTGCACTCAGTGTCAGTGTGTCACTGCAGACAGTGCGGTCACTGTCAGTGTTTCACTGCAGACAGTGCGACCACTGTCAGCGTGTCACTGCAGACAGTGCGGTCACTGTCAGTGTGTCATTGCAGACAGTGCTGCTCAGTGTCGGTGTGTCACTGTCAGTAATTCACTGTTTTCACCGAAACTGCACATCCCTAGTTCACCATTGAGCCTATCTATTTGTATAAAAAGCAAGGAAGAAAGAGCTGATTCTTTTTTATTTAAAGTTAACAAAAAAATCAAAAATTCTGATTTCAGCTCTTTTTTTCTTGATAGAGAAACCTTTCAGTTGTGTTAAATAATGATTTCAGATAGGAAAATATCAAACTTACTAAATCTTCTAAAGAAATCATATCTTTATTGAAAAAATCAGGCAAAATACA